CCACTATCCATCTTTGGTAAATGAATGTATGAAAATCGCTTATGAATGTACAACACAACATTATTTTATCTAGCATAAACCATAGTGACAATCATAAAGTGTATTCATTATTAATCAAGAAGAAATCTTATCCATATTTAAAACCTTAAAGTTCTTTATCGGTTTTATTCAGTGTTTAGTGAAGTGAGCTTTGAATGTCTCTTAATGAAATCAGTTTCTTCTTTAGATGATTCACTTTTAATTGACTGTCTTCCATGAGAGGGGAAATATTTACTTGCCTCCCTTTATCATGACGATAAATATATAAATCCATTTTTTTAAGAGAAATAATTTATATATAATTCACTTAGTATTGTTTGTTTGAATCTTCCCATCGATGTGTTTAGGACTGCAACTGGTCAGACTCTAATTGACATACGTGTTCGAGTCCCAGAGTGAACATCAACTCTGAGATGCAGGTACATCCAGCTGACGAGTCCCAAATAGGACGAAACGCGTGTCCTAGATTCCACTGCTAGACACTATCCATCTCTGCTTACCATGCTTGTGAATTAAAATATATCGAGGCAATACGCACAGCATACACATATGCCAATTAAAGACTGACCAGTTGCAGTCCTAAACACATCGATGGGAAGATTCAAACAAACATTACTAAGTGAATTCAGACATCACTCCATCGCACAAGCAAGTGGCTAACAGGACTCAGTGGCCGAGTGGATAACACGATGGCGTTTGAAGCGAGGGTACTGAATTCGAGTCCCAGAGTGAACATCAACTCTGAAATGCAGATACATCCAGCTGACGAGTCCCAAATAGGACGAAACGCGCGTCCTGGATTCCACTGCTAGCCACTATCCATCTCTGCTTACAATTTATATATATATATATATATATATATATATATATATAGACGTAATATGATAACAAACCATAAAGAAGTATACCTCATCAAGATATCAAAGAAATAGGATCTGAGCAAGTGTGAGAACTACAGAAGCATCACACTACGACCAGTACCAAAAGTCGTTTACATCGGACTACTGTCGAACCAAATGAAAAATTAAGGAGGCGTCATATTCCGAGATCAACATGCTGGATTCTGTAAGGATCAAATGTGGGCGGATCATATCCCTATAATAGGGATCATTAATGGGCGATTAAGTGATTAGAACTCGTCATTATACAACAATTTCGTTGACTATGAGAAAGCATTTGACAGTGTTTTTAGGATAACCTTATGGAATCCTATTCGGCACTATGGTGTGAGTAGGTAAGAAAATCGTCAATATCATTCCGAATTCATACGACGGACTGCACTGTAAAGTGGTGCATGTAGGACAGATGACCGATGCATTCCAAGTGAAGACCGGAAACAGGCAAAACTGCTTACTCTCCCCTCTTTCTTTTTCTTCTGATGGTTTACTGGATTATGAGGAAGTTCATATATGAGGAGAAGCACGCAATACAATGGACTTGAGAAATAACTTAGCTCTTCTATCCCATACGCAGCAACAAATATGATTGAAGACACCCAGTATTGCTGCAACCTCTGAAGCACAAAGCCTAACCATAAATAAGGGAAGAAGTAAGATCCTTAAATACATCAAGAAGAACACAAACCTAATCACCATTGGTGGAGAAGCTTTGGAAGAGGTGTAAACCTCCACGTACCTGGTCAGCATTACCGATGAACTAGAAAAATCTGATGCACATGTGAATGCATGGATTGACAAGAGAAAGTGTAGTATTCCTAAATTTGAAGAACATTGGGAATTATAAACAACTCAGCCAACAGCAACGTCAGAATCTTCAATGCGAACGTCAATACAGCTCCACCATACGGAGCTAAAATTTGGAGAACTACTACAAGCATCGTCAAACAAGTACAAGTATTTATAAACAATTGTCTACGCAAGATACTCAAAGTCCGTCCTGCGACACCATCAAAAACAATCTACTGTAACATAGAGCAAACCAACTTCAATCTGAAGAGGAAATTAAGTAAAGGTGTTGGAAGTGTATAGGAAATATATTGTGGAAATTACCGAACTACATCACGAGGCAATCTCTAGTTTGGAATTGTGAAGAGAAACAGAAAAGAGGAAGGCCAAATAACACACCGTGTTGGCAATCAGAAACGGAGATGATGATAATGAATGGTAATGTAAAACAGGTAGAAAAGGTTTTCCAGGAAAGATTTTGATGTAGAATGGTGGTCCTCGGCCTCGCTCCTCTACGAGGAGTGACAGGGGTAGGGAAGTAAGGCTTTATTAATGTTAGGTTATAATATAATGTGAAACTACTCATATTTTGAAAAAACTTGCAAAAGAGATTTCGTTAAGAAGTAAACCGTCAATTGAACTGTCTAACAAACCAAAATATGATGTCATTCGGGTCACTTAAGTAATGTTTTTTTTCCGGTTACATACACTTTATGCAATATTATGTGGAAGTTTTCTATTCTAGATCACTTTGAAAAGTAATAAACGAAATTAGAATGAATCTATTAAGCATTTGAATAAAAAAAACCAAAACGATACTAAAGAACTTTGATTAAATTCAAACACTTCACTTCTACCCGAAGTTTGTGCTGATGATGTCGTTCAGAAGGACGATGAAGGCTCCACTACCAAACCATCCAGCTCAGAGAACAAACCAACATAAAAATCACCCACCTGAGCTACAAATCTTCTCCACCATCTCAACTTTGATTAAAATATAGATAAGCTGACCAAATTCACTTGCCTTTTAATGCCGTCGGTTAAATATGTCAATCAATTACTGTTAAGATCTAGTGCAATAAAGAATTTATTTATGCTTGTAGCATAAAAGTTCATAAGTAATTTAGATTTTGTAACTACAAAACAGCACATGTATTAGTTATCGTTAAGAACCTTTGCATAAAAATAAATTTATGTGACCCAACTTAGCAAATGAAAACAGGATTGAGATCAACAGTATAGAGGTTTAAGGAGACTATTCAATTTCACGGAGAACACGAACCAATCTTAGTCAGGCATACATTGAAAACCCGGAAGCATTGAATAGACGTTTCGTCTTAGCATGGAAGTTACTCCTCTTTAGTGCGTATCCACGATCGCACTACTGTGGATAAAACGAAAAATTTTCAGTCTTGTGCATAAATACTTAACTTCTAGTGAATTGAGACAGAATCCAACATTGCAGATGTATAACTTCAACCAATACACTATTTTATCACCATCTTCCATTGTCTTGGTTGGATAATTGTTTCACGCTCTACACAACTGAACTTCCTTGATCATGGCTTCTCATTAGAAATCCAAAATTAACTTGTGAAGTTAGTCACTTGTGAATAAATGATGATTATTCATTGTCTTTATTGGGTAACTGCTTCACAACTGACATGTGAAGATTGTTGGTGGAATATTCAAACGGTGACATTTTGTCAATCCACCATGTAACGTTTTTTATCTAGTCCATACAAACCAATATTATTATATCTAATTGTGCTTTATTTTATTTAAACATTCATTAACTCATAAAATCACAATTGACTGAGTTTTTTTGTCTCACAACGGTTAATTGATTCCATTTAACACCTAAATATGAAAATAATAATCTAATTAATTGACAGATAACAATGTAAAGCATCTGTGAATAATACACGCTTATATTACAATGTATACTTTAGTATCCTCTCCGGTAAATGGTTATTGTCATAACAGAATAACGGCGAGAGTATAATTTATGGATGAGCCAGTCAGAAACGTTTGAGGGATTTCAAGGTAGATTTCAGTACATGATGCTCACGTACTATCGGTTTACAGCGGATTTTAGATAAGTGATAGTTGAGCGGCTATAACAGATGTGACTACTAAGGAATTCCTCTATTTGTGATTGTAGTAATCAAATGACTTGTGGACCTTATACAGACTACCGTGATGATGTTATCTTTCGATGTCATATATGTTGGAGGAAGACGTCTGCTAGAATAGGATTTTTTCGTTCGATCGAGATTGAGACTAAAGCAAATTATGATAATTCTTGCGAACTGGATAATAAAAAATCACCAGTAAAACTGGCTCCAGCCATGTACTACAATATATACGGATGATTGGAGAGCGTACAGATGCCTACATAGACTTGGTTATGTGCATCATGTCGTTATCCACGAGTGGCGTTTATGGTTCCAACAACCAGAGTGCACACAAACAATACTGAAGCCATGTAGTCGAAGCTGAAAGAGTTTTTACGACCTTATCATAACTCCAGAGGTGTACTATTATGAAGCCATAGGGATGATTCCCTCTACTGTACGCATTACAATTTCAGAACCTCTGAACCTGTAGTGAACAAAACACTAGTTGGGGACAATCGAATGTATTTAAGCAAAGATTACAGACTATCTCAGTAAATTCTGATAACCAAACAATGAACAGTCAATTTGCAAATTAACAACCAATTGTTTCAATCTTCACAGTTTCTTCTCTAATTCCATTTTTCGTGCATTTTCCAAACGATTGCGTTTCATTTCAGTTCTTCCCTCATCGGTCTACTGCCAAAATACATTCTATGTCTGACTCACACCATATACTACTTATATGGATATAAGTAGACCACACCACAAACCTCTTTCCAACCTTGATAAGTTTTTGAACCATGTAAAACAAGTGTATTCACTACAATTCTTCGGCTTTGTTTAGTATATTTTTACTCTATACTACCTATTTTCTGATTAGCTAATATTTCTTAAGTTCAATTATCATCCATAAATTATAGTCTCGCCCAGCGGAAGCTTTAAAACCTTTCATAAACACACCTTAATAGTTTATACCAATTAATAAACATACTTTAGTGTTAAAACAACCATAAACAAATAATTTATTAAAATATCTAGATGACAGTAACAAAGAGCCCAAATATTCAAACAGGCTATCAATTAGATTTCCGTTATTAAAATATCATAACTTCCTAATGTAAATAAAATATGATTGGTTGAATAATTCTTGTCTTTTGATTGGTTCAATAATTATTGTGTTTTGATTGGTTCATTCATGTAATTAAATTTATTAAAATTTAATTTTTAAATTAAATGAAAACTAACTAATCATTTACATAATTTGATAAAATGCATAGAAATAAAAATTTTGAAAAATCTATAAAATATAAACAATCCAATAAATGTCATAATTTAAAAATTCGTCCTCCTGCTCCTTCTCTTGTTCCTCCTCCTGCACCTCCTCCTCCTCCTATTCATCATCATCATCATCCATGTGGATATTGTTCATTAAAATATGCATTTAATTTATTTTGTAATTGTACAAGTGTACGTGGTATGTCAAAATTATGTCGTGGACCAAAAGTATTACGTATTATGTGGTTAATATTTGTATTAAGTATGACATTTTTATTATTAAGTTCAACTGCATTATTAATTAAAGATTTTTTAAATTATGATGTAACAGTAAATACACAATTAATTTTAGATAATATATCACCATTTCCATCATTAACTGTATGTCATCAACCCCCCTTTTCATATAAAGCTTATAAATTATGGAATCAATCTAAAATTTTATCACCAAGTCAATATAATTTATATATGAGAAAGCTGATCTATAACTCATTATATAAAAATGATATCTATTTAGCTAGTTCAATATGGAGTTATGATAGTTTAAGTGTTTATTATCAAAATATCAATTATAAAGATACTATTCTATTAGGACATAATATAACTATCTTTTTTAATTGTATGAGAATCTATTCACATATATCTATATTTGAAGATAATTGTACATTATTAAATGGTTATCGTATTAAACAATTATCCCATCATCAATATTTAAATTGTTATACATTTGAACCAATTAATATGATTGCTGCGAATGAAACAACTTTCCTTAGTCTTATAGTTGGTTTAGGTCCAAAAGATAAAGATATTCATATACAACAAGCATTTCTACCAGATATATTTGAACAAGCACGTGGTTTACGTGTTGTTATACATGAAATTGGTACAATGCCTGATTTAGAAAAAAATGGTATACATGTTGAACCAGGTAAATTAAATGAAATTAATTATGAACCAATTCGATGGAAAAGATTAAATACACCAAAACGACCATGTATTACACCAAATGAATCACATCAATATTTAGATTTAAATATTAAATATAATTATACACATACACAATGTTTATTAGTACATCAACAAATTGAAATAATGAATAATTGTCATTGTATCTATGTAATGCATCCACGTTTAATAATACCAAGTAATACATTACCATATTGTGGTCAATTATGGCCAAAATTAAATCAAACTGAATTTATTGAAAAAATTTTATGTCTTAGTAAATATTTAAATAATACAATTAAACAAAAATATGATGGTCATATGTGTTTTCCACGTTGTGAATTTTATGATTATGAAAGTACTACATCAGTTACTAAATGGCGTGCATATCCATGGCAACTATATTGGTTACGTGTACAAAATCAAGCAACTCAATCATTATTAAATTATTATGAAAAATATCCTAATCATAATTTAACTCAAACTTCAGCATTTAAATTATGGGAATATTATTTAAATTATCCAGATTTAACACGTTTACCAAATAAAACTGAATTATTACGTAATCATAGTAATAATACATTATCCGATATATCTAATTTGTTACCAAGTTGGCCACCAGAAAATTTAGATTTAGATAGTGAAGATTTTGCATATGTTATATTAAAACGTAAATCACAAAGTACCATTGAAAAAACTGAAAAATTAGTATTAAGTTTATATGTATTAACAAGTCGTATTGGTGGATTATGTTCATTAACTATTGGATTAACTGCTGCATTCTTTGTTGAATTGCTTGAATTTACTTATTTATTATATAAAAATATTAATGATAATAATAGTAATATTAAATCTACCATTATTGTACAAACTGAAAAATGTATACAATTAAATGAAATACAACAAACGGAACAAAAAAATTCATCTTTACAATATAATACTACTACTAATACTACTAGTAATACATCAGTAGAACATTGAACAAGCAAACAAAAAAAAAGAAAAAAAAAAGCAAAAAAAGAGAACCCAGAAAAGAAAAGAAATCATTACATTAAAAGTATATTACGTAACATTGAACAATATTATTATTATTGTTTATATTGGTAGGTAGTTTCAAATTGAAATCACTTCTATTTTTGTTACATAATTTATTGAATATGGTTATTTTTTTTTTCTAGTTAAACTTTTAATGACTTTCTTTGAATGAATGAATGAATGAATGAATGTAATCCGCCTCCTCCCCCCCCTCTGTCCGAGAAAAACAAAAACAAGGAGACAATTGTTTTTGAAGGATGAATTTGCAAAGACACGAACATTATCGATTTCCTATTAAATTTTTATTATTTTTATTACTATTATTATTATGATGATTAATAGTAGTAATAGTAGTAGTAGTATTTTTAGGTTTGATATATTTCCTTTGAAATAATATTGTTTTATGAAAAATCCCGAGTTCATTCATTTATATGTTTGTTTATTTGTTCAGAAAGAAGAACTGTTCACGATATTCTCAGAGATAGAATAATAATAGTAATACAATTACCTAATACTAATTACTATTAACAGTTAGTGTAGAGTTTGAAGTTGCTACATGTATTAGTGATTATAAGTATCGAGTTAACTGATTCAATCTTATAGCATCTTTGAATATAATAATCTTGTGTTAATTAAAGTAACCGGGTAATTGTTACTTAATATACTACCATAGGCTACTTTGACACCTATAAACTGATGTAAATTATTAGAAACAAAGAGAATGTTGTATTGATATGATGCATTATAAAATGATAGTAAGATGCTCCATGAGGTAGTTCCTGGAGTTCTAGTGAGAAGCAGTGACCAGTAGAGTTCAATCAGGTCTGTTGTGAGATATCAACTCAATGAAGACAATGGTGGAATGGTTGCTCAATTTCATGGATTAGTGGAAGCTAGACATTAACACCGTTGAATACCGGCTGGCTCAGTGGTCTAGTGGTTAAATACTCGCGCGCGAGACTGGTAGCTCTTGGGTTGGAAACTCGCAAGGCGGGATCGTGGGTGCGCACTGCTGAGGAGTCCTATAATAGGACGAGTTGGCTGTCCAGTACTTCCAGGTTTTCCATGTTGGTCTAGCTTCAATTGACTCATTATCTCAACTATATAAAATTACTAAAATCTTTACAAAACCCCCTTCTGATAATGAATGTAAGATTGTTAAAAATTAATTGCCTGTAGCTTCTATACATGAAATTAAAACAAATAAACATTGAATTAATCATATATGACAAATAACAGTAAAGAAAATAAGTGTATATTGTCAAATGCAGATAGCATAGCTTATAGTCTTAAGCGTTTAACTAGTAAATGAACAGTTGAACTGATTATAAAATGGATTCTCTGGAAAAATTTTTTTGTAGTTAGTGGGAATATTCTGTTGATAAACTCAATTCCTGTACTGAAGTGATTACAGAAATTTTAAAATGTATTGTACAGTAACACATAATATAAGATCAAACTGATCTTCACTTGACAGTTTCAACGACTCATCAAACATTGTTATTTTACTTAATCTATATTTGATATATCAGCAACTAAACATTTTATATGTCAAGATGCATGTTTATTTTGCGATCTTTCAAAAATATAGGTACGGTTGAGGATGGGGAGAATCAGCTCTACCTCTCCAAATGCTAACACATGGCCACTATTATAAAGACACTGTAGATGGAGTGCAATACTAGAACGAAACAGTCGTTCAGTGCCTACAGATTTTGAATAGCGGTCTAGCTTACATCAACTTATATATATGATCAGGTTAGTAGTAAGAATACATGTGTCTTGATCTAGTTATTACAAATTTGTGAATGTTAGAAATCACATGAATCTTCTGAATAATAATGCTTTATTTAAAATAAGAAAATTTACTACCTTCGGTTACATCCCTACAAAAGTGATTTGATATACTGAATAATGTGAACATTTTTCTATCCGGTATAAGTTCCATGATAAAACAAATACTACGAGGAAAACGTTAGAATTTTATTAGAAATTAATGAAAGACTATTAGAAATGAATAAAAATTAAATGAATGTAAAAATTAACTTGTAGTATACTGTTCCGTTATTATTCTACTTTACTGAATAGTTATCTCGCAATAAAGTTTGGAGGGCTGCTTAAATGTCGTACAACTTACAAAAAAGTACAATCAGAGACGTTGTGATGGATGTCAATATGCACTGAAAAGAATGATCATTGTTCAGATGTCGATTCTTTAACCGCTAACATGTAATAGGTGATCACTCAATATTTATCGTCGGGATCGATCAAGAAATAAGGGAAGAGAACTTAACGAAACAAATTGTCACAAGAGGCTTTTGTGGAGATTTCAGTAATTGTATAGTTGAAATCATTAGTCAATTGAAGTTATACCACCATAGAAAACCTAGAAGCACTGGACAGCCGTTTTGTTCTATTGTGGGACTCCTCAGAAGTGTGCATCCACGATCCCGCCAAGTGATATTTGAACCCAGGACAGCGCTGAACCACTAGATCACTGATCCAACGGTGCTTCTAAGTTTTCCATGGTGGTCTAGCTTCAATTGACTTATGATTTCAACTATGAAATAAATTGTGTTGAGAATCATATGTTGTACCGAACATATAACCAATTTATTTAAGGACATTTTAAAAAACTTTCTATTAATTAATGAATTATTCGATTGAGAAATGGAAGAAATTAATATTTATACCTGAAATTTTCTAAGAAGTATACACTGAAATTTGTTGCTATGAAAGTTAAAGGGTAGATACCAAACTTATTCAAAATTTTGAATCAATACGTTATCTGATGTAATAACCTACTGAGCGTTACCCTTGACTTAATTCTTGATTGTATATTTGTCTATGATTTTTTTAATAGACCGATAATCAGGATCGATTTCTGTGTGTTTATTGATTGCTGGCTGATTTAAGTATCAAATTCCTGAAAACATTCTGGTCTTCCTTCCATTCCTCTGAACAGAATCTCAATATTTTCCCTGGTGATAAAGATGAAGATTAAGAGAGCAACCTATTTGACTAACGTAGTGTTTCTTGCAGATAAAATAGTTTATATTGTGGATGATATTTAACCTTTCCTCTTTAGTTGTCTCTCTATTCATTCAGTTTGCATGAACTCATTTACTATCTGCACAATTAATATTTAATGCTTATAGTTGAAAGCGTGAGTCTATTGAAGCTAGACCACCATGGAAAACCTGGAAGAACTGGACGGCCGTTTCGTCCTATTATGGGACTCCTCAGTAGTGCGCATACACGATCCCGCACCCGCGAGATTCGAACCCAGCACCTATCAGTCTTGAGTAAGAGCCCTTGACCGATAGACCACTGAGCCGACATCCAATGGTGTTAATGCCTAACTTCAACTGATCCACGAAGTTGAGCAACCGTTCACCAAATATTTTCAATGAGTTGATATCTTACAACAGACGAGGTTTGAAATCCACTGGTCATTGCCTCTCACTAGAACTCCTGGATTTACCTCTCGAAGTCAGTTACTAGTGAGTATATGATTATATTAATTATCAGAAGGGGTTTTGTGGAGATAAAATATTTTTATAGTTGAAAGCGTGAGTCAATTGAAGCTCGATTCACACTTTCAACTATGAAAATGCTAAATCTCCACAAAACCCCTTCTGATATTTAATGTTTAGCCAATTACATCAATTCTTCAATACATTGAAAGACTTATACCTCCTAATTAAAATGAAAAATAATTGTATTTAAGAACACTATATCTGCTCACTTGATAAACATTAAACATTTAAGTTTCTAACCTGAATTATACCATCTAGATAATTGCGTGACATGAGTGTACGACTGATCTGTTAACATAGAACTTCATTTAATTGACTGTTTGTGTTTAGAAAAGTTCGTATAATTAATTTTATATGCCGAAATCAATAAAGTCGTTTCAGAAGCATTTTAATACATTAGAAATCATATGAGAAAAAGTTTCAGGTAACAAACTTGTCCTTCTGTTTTGAAGTAGACTTTGCTACATAACATTTATTAATATCTAAATAGTTGAGATCATGAGCCAATTGAAGCTGGACCACCATGGAAAACCTGGAAGCACTGGACGGCCGTTCCATTCTATTGTGGGACTCGTCAGCAGCGCGCACTCATGATCCCGCCTTGCGACATTCCAACGCAGGACCTATCAGTCTCGCGCCAGAGCACTTAACTGATAGACCACTGAGCCGGCATCTCGCGAGGCGAGGTCGTGGATGTGCACTGCTGAGGAGTCCAATTAACTCGTGCTTTCAACTATGAAAATACTAAAATCTCCACAAAACGCCTTCTGATAATATCTAAATAATTGACAAAGCTTTTTAACTAATATAATTATGATGATGTTATTTGTTGACTTTAACTCCGCCTGTAGCTCCTCTGGGGGTTGCTGCCGGTCCCAAGCCCGGGTAAAGGAGGAGGGTTGAGCATGGGGTTAGCGACCACATCCCGTAGAAAATCAACTCGCTAAAAAAACGCCAACCAGAATAAATCATTCAAACCATTTAAACTCTGCCCTCCAAGTTGAAGGAATAATTATGACGTCTCATGATGAAAGCTGAGTTCATTCGGAAGTCATGAGGCCGATGCACCTTCTTACAACCAGAGCAACAATTTTTATAGGTACATGGAATGTCCGGACAATGTGGGAGACCGGAAGAGTCTTCCAAATTGCTGCAGAAATGAGAAAATACAACCTGGAGGTTCTTGGAATCAGCGAAACACATTGGACGCAGGTTAGACAACAACAACTGTCTTCAGGAGAACTTCTGTTATACTCCGGTCATGAAGAAGAAAATGCCCCACATACACAAGGAGTGGCATTGATGCTGTCCAGAAAAGCACAAAATGCACTTATTGGATGGGAATCTCATGGACCAAGGATCATCAAAGCCTCCTTTAAAACAAAGAGAGAGGGCATTACAATGAACATCATC